TGGAGATGAGTGGAAGACTGCTTTTAAAACGCAAGATGAGTTGTTTGAATGGCTTGTCATGCCTTTTGGGTTATCGAATGCCCCAAGTACATTCACGAGAGTAATGACTCACCTCCTTTGCTCATATTTGGGAAAGTTTTTGGTGGTATATTTTGATGACACACTAGTTTTTAGCAAGTCAAAACAAGAACACTTGGAACATCTCAAGTTAATTTTTCTCACCTTGCGTCAAGAACAGTTTTATGTTAACTTGCCTAAGTGTTCATTTCTTCAAAATCAAGTCCTCTTCTTGGGTTTCATAATTTCTGAAAGGGGTCTAGCAGCTGACCCTGAGAAAGTCCAAGCCATTCAAGAATGGCCTGAGCCACAATCTCTCCATGAAGTACGGAGTTTTCATGGCCTTGCTTCTTTCTATAGACGCTTCATTAGAAACTTCAGTACCATTATGGCTCCTATCACTGATTGCTTAAAACAAGACAAGTTTTAGTGGACATCTACAGCTTCCGTAGCTTTCCAAGATATTAAGAAAAGACTTTCTCAAGCTCCAGTCTTGTCTTTACCGGATTTTACAAAGTGTTTTGAAGTTGCTTGTGATGCATCTGGAACAGGAATTGGAGGTGTACTAAGCCAAGAAGGTCACCCTATGGCTTTTTTTAGCAAAAAACTCAATGATGCAAAACAAAAGTACTCCACTTATGACAAGGAATTTTATACGATTGTGAGATCCCTTGAGCATTGGAAGTACTATCTTCTTCCGCAACAATTTGTTCTATACTCTAATCATCAGGCGCTTAGGTTTATCAACTCTCAGTGGCACTTAAATGCTAAACATGCTAAATGAGTTGAGTATATTCAGGGATTCACTTTTGTGGTCAAGCATCATTCAGGAACAGAAAATATAGTGGCTGATGCCCTGAGCCGTCGGATCAACTTATTGCACATTATGAGCGTTAGTGTTGTTGGTTTTGAAAACTTGAAAGAAGACAATGCTTCATGTCCAGATTTTGGGATAATATACCAAGAAGTTCGCAGTGATAATCGTCATGAGCATGTTGATTTCATCCTTAAAGACGGTCATCTCTTTCGTGGGAGCAAGCTGTGCATCCCACGTACTTCTATGCGAGATTTTCTTATATGGGAGTTACACACTGGAGGTTTAGCTGGTCATTTCGGGGTTAATAAGACAATGGCATTAGTCGAAGATAGGTTCTACTGGCCTTCACTCAAGCGTGATGTGGCTCGCATAGTGTCTCAATGTCAAAATTGTCAAACTTCTAAAGCCAGGCGACAAAATACCGGTTGGTATACTCTTTTGCCGATTCCTGAGGCAACTTAGAAAGACTTGAGTATGGATTTTGTCTTAGGATTGCCTCGCACAGCTAGAGGTCATGACTCTGTATTAGTTGTTGTGGACAGGTTTTCAAAAATGGCTCACTTTATTCCTTGTAGCAAAACTACGGATCCTTCACATCTGGCAAAGTTGTTCTTCAAGGAGATTGTACGTCTACATGGGTTACCTACCACTATCGTATCTGATAGAGATGTCAAGTTCGTTAGCTACTTTTGGAAGACCCTATGGAAACTTTTTGGTACCCAATTGAAGTTCTCTTCTGCTTTTCACCCTCAAACTGATGGGCAAACTGAAGTCACCAATCGCAGTTTGGGTAATTTGCTTCGGAGTTTAGTTGGAGACAGGCCGAAGAACTGGGATTTGGTTCTACCCACTGCAGAGTTTGCATATAATAATTCAATGAATAGGTCTACAGGCATGAGTCCCTTCCAGATTATTCAAGGTTTTAATCCTAAACAGCCTATTGACCTCCTGCCAATCCCGTTGACATTTCGCATTTCTAAATCTGCGGAATCCTTTGCCAATCGCCTTTATGACTTACATGCTAAAATTAGGCGCAAATTAGCGACAAGTAATGATCAATATAAATTATCTGCTAATACTCATCGTCGATTTCAAAGCTTCAAAATAGGTGATTATGTTATGGCTCGCATTCGTCCAGAACGTTACCCTAAACACGCTTTTAAAAAGTTGCATGCTCGAGCTGCGGGACCTTTTCGCATAATAAAGAAATTTAGGACCTAATGCTTATCTTTTAGAACTACCTTCTGATATGGCCATTAGTCCAGTTTTCAATGTAGAGGATCTCATGCCTTACCGGGGAACTTTTGAGCCTTCCCCTTTGCTTTCTGATGATTTTGCAGGCACTCAGCCTTCACAAGTGCCAATTCTATCATTGCCTGCTGTCTCACCATCAGTTGATGAAATCGAGACCGTTATGGATGATCAAATGGTCTTTACCTCTGAGGGGCCCATCCGTCGTTATTTGGTTCGTTAGAGAGGTCGATCTGATGAAGATGCCACCTGGATTTCAGAAGATGAATTCCAACAACTTAATCCTGCCCTGCTAGAAGCCTATCAACTCTCTACCTCTCCGGAGGAGAGTTCTTTGCAGCAGGGGAGAATTGATAGAAAATATGGCAAATGTTATTCTAGAAAGAAATAATTGTTTTTGCATTATTTAGTATTTTATAAGTTTCCTTCTAAGGAAGGAAACCTGACCTGCTTTTGTTTTTTTTTTTACTCTTTATAAATTTTAAATCTGCAAGTTGAGCTTTCCTTATAGGGAAGGAAACCTCAAGCTTATATTTTATTTCATTTTATGTTTCCTTCATAAGAAGGAAACCTTAATTGTGGCTTCTATAAAAAGCCACCATGCAGCACATGTAAGGGAGTTCTTAGAGTTGGAATGAATGAATTGCTAAATTTTGTGAATGTTTCTCAGCCCTGCGTCTCTCCCCTTCTATTCCCCTATCTATCAGTTCTGTGTCCTCTCCACTTCCCCTGCTTTCTCTGTTTTCTGTCATCTCTCCCCTCTGTTTTCGCTCCCCCTTCACCTCTCACTCTCTGATTCTGTTTCTTCTTCCTCATCCTATTCTGTTCAAATCAATGTGAGTGTGTGTCTTTTACATCACATCTAACAAGAGCTTCCTTCTACTCTATTCTCTAAAGACTTCTGAGAAGGCTTCCTTCAAGAAAGTAGGGGCTTTGTTCCAAGAATTCTCCCCCTCACTTCACCCTGGGATTTATTCAGATCTAGCAGGGATTTAAAAATAAACTCTTTCTCAACAATTCCCCTGTACTTTGCATCTCCAAGGCTCTCCAATTCTAGGTTGTGACATCTGTTACCCAGATAAATCAAAGCATTACAATACTGCATGTCAGATAGCTCACCTTGTTTGAGGTTATGAGGACTACTCTTGATCTCACTGATTTGGTCCATTGCAAGTAATTGGGACCATTCAGCTAGTGCCCAGTAATTTGTAGTCAACCCAGATGGTTGATTACAAATTTGGGTATTTTCACATGCCATATGGTACAGTGAATAAGGAGAGATGGGGATGAGGAGAGAGAGAAAAAGTGGGTTTTGCCAAAGGCTTGATCTAATGCTAAGTCAACAAAGGCTGGAAAACATGAAAATTTGGTAATTTCTGAATTTCTGAATAAATTTTATAGAGTGGGTACTGTAGTATATACAATAGGAGACTGAATCAGAAGAAGAAAGCTCCTGATGTTCAGCCAATTGAAAAAAGAACAATAGGGGAATTCAAGAAATTGTAACAGCCCTGCAATAGCTACAAATCTGAGCAACTATACAATAATTTCATGTTAACAACAGATCAGACCAGCTATGAAGTAATCAGATAATAACATATCTGACTATTTTTACATGAAACAAATGCTAAATGATCCTTGAGAGTGTGTTTGGTTTGAGGGGAGGGAAGGGGAGGGGAGGTGATGGAGGGGAGGGTTTTAATGTTACGTTGTTTGGTTTTGTTAAAGGGAAGGGAAGGGGAGGAGTTTTTAATGATCCTTTGTTTGGTTTAGGAGGGGAGAAGATGAGAGGTAATAACTAATTTACTATTGTATCTCTATACATTAGTTTAAATTTTTTTATTTTTTCTTGTAAAAAATAATTTTACACCTCAACTTAAATTACATGATTTTTTAAAAATTCACTCTCATCCTATCATATTGTCAATATGTGAAAAAAAAATTAAACCAATAATTATAATGATAACAATTTGTTATAAAAATTAAATAACTAAATATATAATAAAATATGATGAAATGTAACTTTAAAAAAAAAATCCAATGAGGTGAGTCGAGTCTGGGAATGAAGCATAATTTGATACTTAGAATATTAAAAAATAAATAAGGGCAAAATAGTCAGAAAAAATTAGCTCCCCTCCAGAAAACCCCAATTTGGAGGGGAGCAATATGAGGAGAGGGGAGGGGAGGGCTCCCCTCCAAAATCCCCCAACCAAACACACCCTAAAGGTAAATAAGGGATTCTAGAAAACATTATTTATATTCTTTGCTGGAATCAGCCGAGCAAAGTTAAGTCAACCAGTTTTCTGTATTCCATGTTGAAAGTAATATTTATGACTTCATTATGGTAAAAAATCGCACACATAGAACAAAGAGGTCGTTTAAATACAAACAAATGCAAACGTCCCTGCTACTCCCATTCCCAAAAGATGCTAGAGATGAAGAATTGTTATGCGTATAATTGGGGGATTAAGAAGTAGTCAGCAGTTTAGTTAACTATTGTTAGTATCTAAAGAGAGCGAGTTAGTTAGCTTGCTAATTAACTAATTACTTCAATTGCATGTATGAGGAGGAATCAGACTGTTATGACAGTTGATGCTCGCCAGGTTCTGCCAATCTCTGTTCTTCTACTTCTATTTCTATTTTTCTTCTTTTCCCTATCACAATTGAATTTGTAACCATAATTCTTCCAATGCAGTGGAAAACCAGAAGAAAAAGATCCTGACTCTACCATTCCAGTTAAAACCCTACGCACTCACAGCCAATAACTAAGTACGAAGCATTTTGCTAAATACCTAGATTTGTTGTAGACCACATAGAAATGCAATTTCTGAATTCATGAATGAGATAAAGGGGAAAAAAAAACAGAGAGATGTACCTGAAGGAAACTACTATTTCTAACTTCCACAAAATCATCTTTAATATACAGAAGGGCTCCTGATATAACACCTGTGGTTAAAGAAATACCATGTTAACATTTTCATAAGAGAACTGAAACGGCCAAAATCTGCAGAAAGAACAACCTAGATATTCAGAACTATTGAGAGGTGCTGATTTAGTGGGTCTAGTATTAATTCTATTTATGTTTATTATTTCATCAATAATTTATATCTTAGGTTAGTTGTAGATATTATATCTTCTGTTAATATTTTATATATCTTGGAAGATAAATCTGAGATATTAGGAATAAGTAAAAGATATGATATCTAGGATCCTAGGATTAGAGTTTATGGGGTTTATGCTGCTGCTTATATTAAGAACTAATGTACGCATTATTTTATATGACAACAAAATTAACAGAGGCACACTTCAACTCTGTCTTCTTCATGGTAACAGTTGTCTTAAATCACGCTCTCATGGTGACTTTTGGCTACTTCGAAGCCTTCAAAGAAAAGCAACGAACAGCATCATACATTTTCTTCGACTAGTATGCCAGCCACATTCCCTGTCATATGCAACTGCTATGGAGTTCCAGTCTCAATCACCAACCAGCATTTCAATGGAAACAACTATTTGCAGTGGTACCAAGGATTTCTCATACACATTGTCAGCAAGGGCAAGGAGGAGTACACTACCACTGAAGCTGTGGAGCCTTCAACCCTTGATCCAAAGAACGAAGTTTGGAGAGCTAAAACTGATATGGTGGTCTCCTGGCTTATCAATTCAATGACCCCAGAAATAGGCCAAACCTTCCTACTGTATCAAACTGCTAGGGAAGTCTGGGAGGCAGCATGGAGAACATATTCTTTTATTGAAAATACAGCAACACTTCTTCAAATTAAAGAAAGCTCTCAGAAGCAGAAGAAAGGTGATTTAAGTGCAACCCAATACTGCAATACACTAATGAAGTATTGGCAACAACTAGACCTATATGACACTCAAAAATGGAGCTGCGGCAAAGATACAGAAGGGTCCAGGAAACTAGCAGAAAAAGATCAAATTTTAACTCTTTCTTGGCCTCAATCCCAAACTTGATGACATAGGAGGGGGAGTGATGTCTGCTCATCCTCTACACTCTCTAGATGAAGTGTTTGCATAAATTAAATGGAAGAAAGCAAACAATTGCACCAAATAGATGCTAAGAAAGCTATCTTGAATGGAGATCTTTAAGAAGTATACATGAAATTTCCCCTGGCCTAGATGAAATGCATGGAGGAAATGAGGTGTGTAGGTTGAAGAAGTCCTTGTAAGGGCTCAAAATCTCCCAGAACATGGTTTGAGAGAAGTTCACATATGTAGTCAAAAGTCAAGGTTTTGTATGGTGTCAAATGGATCACATGTTTGTGAAGCACAACTCAAGTGGAAAGGCAGCAATTTTGATTATGACATTGTTGTTATAGGTGATTGGGATGCAGAAATTCAGAGACTTATGAATAGCTTGGCAAGGGAATTTGAGATAAGGAATCTGAGATAGATGAGATATCTTTTAGGCATGTAGGTTGCTAGAAACCAAGAAGGAATTTCAATATCCCAATGGAAATACACCCTACATATTCTAATGGAGACAAAAATGCTAGCTTGTAGACCTGCGGGAACACCTATAGAGGTAGAGTACAAGTCAAAGTTGCAAATAGAGGATGAAACACCTCCATGACTGAGAAAGATACAAAAGGCTTGTTGGAAAATTGATTTATTTATCACATACTAGACTAGATATCTGCTTTCCTAGGAATGTGGCAAGTTAGTTCATGAGTGACCCAAATGAGGAGCATATGAATTTAGTCTTCACAATTCTACACTGCCTAAAGATGACTCCTGGAAAAGGCTTGTTTTCAAGAAAGGGAGTAGTAGAAGTATGGAGATCTTTGCTGATGCTGATTATGGAGGTTCAGTGACTAGTAGATCCACCACAAGGTATGCTACGTATATGTGGGGGAACATAGTGAGCCAGAGAAGTGAGGAACAGGTTATTTCAAGAAGCAATGTAGAGTCTGAACTTAGAGCATTTGCACATGGGATATGTGAAGGTATTTGGTTATTGAGGTTGCTTAAAGAACTCAAGAAAGAAGTGATCTTACCTGTGAAGATGTTTTGTTTGTGATAACACATCAGCCATAATGATGACTAAGAACCCTATCCATTATGACAATATATATATATACACATGCAGAGATTGTCAACACTTCAACAAAGAAAAAATAGAGTTAAGGGTATTCGAAGTGTCCTGCGTCAACTCAAGTTCCCAAGTAACTAACCAAAGATTTTCATAGACCCAAATTTGAAGAGCTCACATCCAAGCCGGGGGTGATTAACATCTACTCCCTAGCTTGAGGGAGAGTGTTGAAAGGCATCGATTTAGTGGGTTTAGAATTTAATATATTTATGTTTGCTATTTCATCAATGATTTATATCCTAGGTTAGTTTTACCTATTGCATCTTCTATTAATATTTTATATATCTTAGAAGATAAATCTAATATATTAGAAATTAGTTAAAAAAAAAAAAGATATCTGGGATCCTAGGGTTAGGGTTTATGCTGCTGCTTATATTAAGATCTAATGAACACATTATTTTGTATCACATTACAGTTACAGAGGCGCACTTCACCTCTGTCTTCTTCAAGAACCAACAACACCTAAACAGATACATCATATTATTTTTCAGATAAAAAATGCAGAATCAGATATAAAGTAAACTCAAGAATTCATCACCCAACCATGAAAGAATTTTCTTCAATTCAACCAGAAGACTTTGCCTAGATAATTGTTCCTTCATTATAAGTAGTTAATCTAATAGAAAATCAAAAAATATTTTTCTCTGTAGAATTTCATTGCTAAGACCAAGCCTTCCTTCTAAATGCTCCATTGGAAAGAAAAGTGAAAATGAAACATATATACAGCACGTGTCAGCTGGCAGCAAAACAGACAGACCAGATTTATTTCAAAGAAAATATAATAAAATTAAATTAAAGAAAAAAACGTTGGTGCTATGCAATATTTTTTAAAAATGTGAAAGAAAGCATCACTGCCATGTAAGTAAAAGATATTCACACTGAACATCATAAAAATAGGATGAAAGAAAATTACATACGGCGCTTTCAGGCAAGAGAAAATGATTTTTTTTCCAAATCCATTTTGTCAAATTACTTCATGCCTTAACCCAGAGAGGACTAAGAAAAACAAATGATAACTCATCCATGAAGAAATGCTTTTTGTTACAGATAGGGAAATAAAAATTTTCACATTTGGTAATATTAATATAGGGTAAAAAGGCAATTTTACACTTAAACTATAAGTCTAAGAACATTTACACTTTTTTGGTATATTTTACCTCTCAACGTTTGAAAAAGTTGCAATATGCCTCTTCTTGCTAATTACAGGTAAACTCTGTCATATTTTCTCTCATGTAAATTGTCAGTCATCGTCCTTGTAATTAAGGGGAAGGGACACATTGTGACATTTTTAACCGTTGAGGGGATAAATTACAATAAAAAAATTTAGAGTCCTAGATGCTCTTAGACTTCTAGTTTAAAAACAAAATCATCCTTTTACCTCGTAATATATTAAGGTTCCAACCTCAGTGACTCCAGAAGCTTAACTTACTCTAGGAACCTTTTTCAACAAACTATCTTCTGGATCGACTACAGAGGCGATTTATCTACTAAGGGGATTAATGGAAAAGTATCGTTGTAAAGATAAAGATCTACACATGGTTTTTATTGATTTGGAAAAAGCTTATGACCGTATACCAAGAGAAGTGCTTTGGAAAGCGTTGGAAAAAAAGGGAGTACGGATTGCTTATATTAAAGCATACAAGATATGTATGAGGGGGTAAAAACTAGTATAAGAACGCCTAGTGGTCAAACAAAGGATTTTCCTATAAAGATTGGGCTACATCAGGGATCATCTCTGAGTCCTTATTTGTTCAACTTGATTTTAAATGTTTTGACGGAACATATTCAAGAGGAAATCCCGAAATGTATGCTCTTCGCGGATGATATAGTTCTTATAGCAGAGACAAGAGAAGAGGTTAATTGCAAACTTGAGTTATGGAGGAGGACATTGGAGTCGAAAGGTTTTCGTCTGAGTAGAAGTAAGACGGAATATTTATATTGTAAATTTGATAAAGGACTATTCGAAAATAATTTGGAAGTAAAATTGGGAGATCAAATTATACCTCAAGTGGAAAAGTTTAGATATTTGGGAGCCATTATCCAAAATGATGGCGAAATCAGTGGAGATATTTCACATAGAATTCAAGCTGGGTGGTTTAATTGGAGAAAAGCTAAAGGAGTTATTTGTGACCGTAAGGTGCCTAATAAACTTAAAGGAAAGTTTTATCGTACTGCTATCAGACCGGCAATGTTATATAGTAGTGAATGCTGGGCTCTAACGGGACAGCAAGAGCATAAAGTTGGAGTAGCAGAGATGAGAATGTTACGATGGATGTGCGGACATACACGTAAAGATAAAATTCGAAATGAGCACATACGTGAAAAAGTGAGGGTGGCACCTATTGAGGAAAAAATGGTAGAAAATCGGTTGAGATGGTTTGGGCATGTACAAAGAAGACCAAGGGAGGCACCAGTGAGAAGAGTGGAACATATAACTTTGAGTCCGATTAAGAGAGGTAGAGGAAGGCCTAAGAGAACACTCTTGGAAGTTGTTGAACGTGATCTCTTAATTAATAATATTTCTAAAAGCTTAATAAATGATAGAGCACAATGGCGTCTTGCAATCCATGTAGCCGACCCCACCTAGTGGGATAAAGGCTTGTTGTTGTTGTTGTTGTTGTTGTTGTATCTTCTGGATCGAATGATCAAAGGCAAAACCATATTCAGGAAGATCATACAACTGAGATCATTATAACGAAAACAGGGGCTTCTGGCCCTATCAAAACGATGAAGCTAATAAACAACAAAAATGCTACTAATAATTGTCTTAACGCGTCAGTTATTCGTGAATGTGGTTGTCTGTGTATTTTTGGCAGGGTAGGGAAGAAAAGAATAAAAATATGAGGTAATAATCTGTGATATCAAATTTGATTAACCAGTACCATTCCAGTACGAGGACATACGAGGACATGATTACGATTGTCAAGCAAAACACAGATTGTATTTCGTTGATCCGAAATTATGGGAAAATCAGGCAATTCCATGTATGAATAACATAACAAGAAACGGGTGGCTTTTTTTTTTTTAACCAAATTTACTTGCTTCACTGATCAAATAGGTAATTAGAAGTTCATACCTGTATCATAGCCAAAAAGCAGCCCACCAATGCCAGCGACGGCAGTGAGACCGAGAATATAAGGGTTCTTAAAAATGACATTTTCCTTTCAGGATACAAATCCAAATACCCTGAGCTTCCGGGTGTCGACTGCATCGTGATCGTCATCGGCGTAATTTGAAACAGGAAATTAATGTACAAATTACGAAGTTTAACGCAGAAAAACCCAGAAGTTCGGCATTCACGCACTAAAAACAACAATCCAGATCAAGAAACCGCAGCCACACCCAGAATGGGCGATAAATCTTGAAGATACACAGAGTAATTCAATAGCACAGAAATCCTCCCAGCTAATGATTTGGTTGGTGGAGAGGAAAACCGTGAATGACTTCCAGGAATTAAGGGAATGGGGAATTTGAGGACTGTCTTGTGGTCAATAATAGAGCCTCACTAGACTGCACGTTAACAGACTACTGAGATTACGTGTACGATCCATATACTTCACTCAAATTAAATTAAATTCATTATTTAAGTATAATTATTATTATTATTATATTATTGGGTGAGGACCTGCACATCTACAGGCTACACAGATTGCGTGCATGATCCACATACTTCATTCAAATTAAATTAAATTAAATTAATTATTTAAGTATAATTATTATTGGGTGAGGGCCTCATCCATCCGTTGTCAGGCCGATTACGGAGTCGGCTTCTCTCAAAGGAGAAAAGCCTCCTCTGCCTCAATCTATAATTTAATGATCGAGTCGATTTTATAATTATAAGTTCATTTCATACTGGACGAAATCAAAACAGAGTTATATATATTCTCATTATGAGAAGGGATCTATTAATAGTAATAAATATTCTTTTATTGTGTATCAAATTTATAGTTTTCGTTAGTGCAAATCCAATCACCTCAGAGGTAGAAGAAAATTTAGACCGTCCAGATTAAATTTGCATGATCCAGATTTAATAATTTTATTTTTATTTTTTATTTATATTTTTAAATTAAAAAAATGTATAAAAATTCTAAAAAAATTTTAATATACTAATCAATCTAAAAGTTCATATTTAATATAGATGCTTTAAATTTAATATAAAAAATTTAAATTGACTTTTCAATGTAAATATATTATGAACAGAATAGTAAATTTATTAAAATAATTTAAGATTAATTTAAACTATTATATTAAATATGGATTGTCAGATTAATAAATATATTTATTAAAAATTTTTTAAAATTTTTATATATTTTTTAATTTAAAAATATAAATAAAAAATAAAAATAAATTATTAAATTTGGACCGTCCAGATTAAATCTGGACGGTCCAAATTTTCCTCTGCCTCAAAGGAGAGGCAGAGGAGGCTTCTCTCAAAAGAGAGAAGCCGACTTCGGCTGATTACTGCATGTTTGTCGAATAGGCCATGACCCCTATTTGGTACATGGAATGATGGAATAATTTTTTTGTGGGATCAAATTAAAAATATTCTACCTTATATTAAAAACTCATACAATCAAATCTAATTCTAACATTTTCGAGTTTCAGGCTTATTCAAACTAGTTCGAATACTTGAAGCTTTTTAAAAATATTTTTTCTATTTTTGAATCAATTTTTATTTTTAAATAACTCTATTAAATATAAAATATTATTTTGACTTTAAAAGAATAAAAGAAAAAAATAATAACCTAACTTTGCACTTAAATAACCATGTCACTATTTGTTGTATTTTGTGTAAATTATTCATGAATATTTCCTTTACTTGTGAATTAATGTCTTAGTTGTATAAATATTACTCTTATCATGGTTATATATAAATATTTTATATATTTTAATTAGACTAAATTATTTTAACTATAATTAAGTTGATCTCAATTCAGTCACGCTTATACCACTAACTTAAAATTATTGTTCCAATTAATTTAAAGTTTTCAATAACTTTTAGGTAAATTATACTTTTTGTTTTAAGAATATAAAAAAATAGTCACCATTATATTATAGAAAACAAAATCATTTACTTATGACTAAAATATTGTTTTTAAATTTTTTCTTTAACTTTTATATTATTTAACCCCAATGTACAAAGGATATTTACTCTAATTTATTCTTAATTTTTAACTCAATCTGATTTAAATGATAACTAAATAATATCTAAGGATATTATTTTATTTATTATATTTATTTAGTAGTAGAGCATCATACATGCTTGAATTTTCTTTAAAATTATTTTTAATTTAATATTACTTTAAAATTAATTATCTTATTTTACAAAAAATATATAATGTATTTTTTTGGATCTCAAATGATGTAGAGGACTCAAAAACTTTTTTTAAAAATAAGTGAGTCTTAAAATATAAAAAACCACTATTAAAATATAGTTTTAAATATTATTTTGATACATTTTATTAATTAAAAATATTAAAATATAAATATTTTTAATTTTTTAAAAAAATAACATTAGGAATACACTCAAATATATGATATTTTAATATTAAATGATACAGAACTTAAAGATACAGAACTTAAAGAATTAATTAATATTTATTATATTTTATATATTTTTAAAAATATTATTTTTTTACCAATCGGGCCAACCTAAATAAGCCCAAACATTGAACAATATTTTTTTGGGCTCAGGAGAAAAAGGAAATGGAGACTATCGATCTTACTTTGCTAAGACTATCGATCTTACTTTGCTAACGGCACGAATTTTTGATACCTGAAGGTGTTTTTTGAGCTTAGAAATCACTAAAGGTAAGTTTCGGGCTCCCTCCTCTCCCATCCTATACCTAGTTTTCTTTTGGATTTGGAGAGTTCCTCATTTAGAGTTTTTCCTATAGAGTCGGTTAACCAATTTATGTGAAGATATTAAATGCACTGGTCGAGACTATAATAAATGCCTTAGATGATATTTTGTAGGATGAAATCAAATTTGAGGCTCACGAGTTAAGCCATGGACTCCTATGGTTAGATGCATTTAATATGCAAGTTAAAAAGGATTTTGGATGACTAGAAGCTTATTTGGGTATAGAAACATGTTTGTTAGGTTTTGGAATAAGAGCTTTGTATGGGCATAGGCTAGTCTAACCTTGGATTGGGTGATTTAGCATCAAGTGAGAGCTTTGTCTTGAGTCAAAGCATGGAAATAAGCATTTGTTTTTGTCATACATGGTAATATCCATTTATATACCAATTATAAATGGTTATTTTTCCCTATTAGCAAGCTTACAAATAACTGTTAGCATGCATTATCAGGAAGTGGCATTGGTTGTTGGACTTTGAGTCTTACTCCTCGTGATTAACTATTTTCAAGAGAAAAGCCAAGTGTGACATTCATAAAAGCCTCTGAGGCTTAAAGTTTGAATCCACTTCCACTCTTGGGTGGTTTGGATTTATGATTTTGAATGATGTATTGTTACCCTATATTTAGAGATGGTAATTTAAGCCAACCTAACGGGCTAGTTTCAAATAAGTTTGAAAAATCTTAAGACCAGGCTGGAGAGTTTAAAAGATTTTCGTTTACTCCAAGCTTATTCGAGCCACCCAAAAAACATGAAGAAATTTAGGCCAAGTCAACACCCAAATAAGCTTAACTCAAATAGATGAATTTCTTTTTTATTATAATAAAATAATATAAAAATTAAAAATATTAATTTTTAAATAAAAATTGAAATTAGATAAAAAATAAGATAAAATAATATAATATTTAATAATTCAAGTATTAGACTAACTTGAAACAACCTAAGGCTTAAGTGCTGTGTAAGATCTCCCTTACTAATTCACAATTCACTCCAAAATTTGAGGTAATCAGGGATTAACATGAGAGGATTATCAAGTTTATAAAATTACAAAATAGGATCCCAATTTTTGAGATTTCAAAATATTCCTATATACTTTTATAAGTCAAAAATTAAAGTAGAAGTGTATGCGAAACCAGGAGAATCCAAAAAGGGTCAAAGCATTTGCATTATAATTAAAAACAATAAAATAGTACAAGAAAGTAGAGATGCGTTATAGCATGTTATACTTGCGTCATGACATGTTTGCCTCTGCATCATGCATTGCAACACATTGCACATTTTTAATAGCAACAAAATTGTCAAATGAGAGCTCTTGAGGCAAACTTCCTATGATGTCTGATGTTCGATTAAGGTGATCTAGGTATCTATAAAAGCTTTCTTCTAGCTCTGACTAGTAGCACTGGTTTCACTCACACATCATATCTCATTAAGAAGTTGGACACCCATTTGCAAACTTACTCTTTTCACATTCAAAAATACACTAGGGTGTCCCATTTCATTTCTAAGTGCCATAACTCACACAAAAATGTTTAGATCATACTTAATGGACTATAACAGACCTGTGTAACACACCATGACAATCAAATTACACATCCATCACATTTGTAATTCCCAACCCCTTGGACACAAGTAAGAGGGGGAGCCTCAATTGCATAAATCAACTCTTTTAATCATCATCAATCATATAATTTGATCGTCTCTCTCATTTGCACTAATATTTTAGCTCTTTTTAGATTTCACAATTAATATATATACAACCTAACCTAAATATACACAATTTAGTTTTACAATCACCTACTGCAAGCAAGCAAACATGTAATCTCCTAATTGGCAATATCATCATAGTTTTACACATAATACCACATGAAATCTCCAAAATTATTCTCTTCCATATCACCTTAACTAGGTGGATTGTTTTGTTTCTTAGCTGCTTCTCTTTCACATAAGTTATTCTCTTGGTTTTGTTTGGATTCTCTCATAGCTCAACATCCTTAGGCTTCATGATATGAGCTGAATCAGGTTAGTACTTCTTGAGTAGTGAAACGTAAAACATGTCATGTACGCTTGATAAAATGAGGTGGCAATGCAATTAGATAGGCAAGTATTCCAATCCTCTCTAGAATTTCAGAGGGACTAATGAAATATGGAGTCAACTTTTTAGCTCAAATTAACCTTTTAATGCCTGTTCATTGGCATAACCTTTAAGAAAACATGGTCGCCAACCTTAACTCTAATGGTCTCCTCCTCTTATTAGCATAGCTCGTGTGTCCGACTCTGAGTATTTAGTACTTTTGTCAAATTATCTCTATTGTTTTTTGGGTAGTTTGATCTACCAAATCTAGATCCAAATGCTCTTCTTCTCACTTAACTCAGTCCATAAAGTAGTGATCCACACTTTCTGCCATACAAGACTTCATAAGGAGCCTCTGGATGCTCGAAAGGAAGCTAGTTATTGTAAGCAAACTCTACTAATGGTAAATGCTTATCCTAACTACCAGTCCACTCAATAGCACATGCTTTGAGCATATCTTCAAGTGTCTGGGTAAGTTCTTTCCATTTGACTGTTTGTCTAGGGATGATAAACCATGCTAATTTTCAATTTTGTCTTTATTGCTTGATTTAATGCTCTCCAAA